CAAATCAGTAAAGATCACAACGATGCAGCTTTTACATTCATTCATGGCAAAATAATGGCTGAATTAATCCCTATGATGTTTGCACACTTGTTTAATTTTGGTAAGCAGTGTTAAATGTTGCATGGTCACTCAGTTCAGGAAATGTCAAAAAAGAAAATATATACCTAAAAAAAAACCCACCTTGATTGCTGCTATAAACAATTTTGCATTGTAAATAAAAAGAGCAAAACATATCTCGGCCATGTCTTGAAGCTTTTAATATAAGTCTTTGTTCTGCTTTCAGTGTGTGTGTGTGTGTGTGTGTGTGTGTGTGTGTGTGTAAATAAGGAGGGATATTATCCTTGCTTACACTGGTTAGCATCTGTTCCTCCTTCCCTGCCGAGAATATTTATGGGAGCAATAAAAATCTCAAATTCACTGTCCCCAGGGGTCTATCTAGAGTTTATTTGAATTATATTTATGTCCTATGCTTTGAAATCAATGGAATTTGAGTCATAATGAAGTATTCATACCTTTTCATAATAAAAGTCCTAACGGGAAACTTTCTGATATGCACTCTAGTCTAGGAGACAGACTTTATTCCTGACAGAAAATCACTCCTTGATATGAAATTCATAGACGTGTTTAGTGGCACAGAGTTATGTTGGCATTCTATTAGATAAGTTGAGAAAAGGTTGAACAGAGACATCTCTAATTGGTTTGTCAAATGGAGACTGTCTGCTACAATGGTGTAATTAATTATATCTGCTTAACCTGTTTGTATTCCTTTCCTAGAAACTGGAGATTTGTTAATATTGCTACATCCCGATACTGATATTCTCATGGATCGATAAATCGTTTAAATAAATAAATAAAAATAAACGAAATGTTATTTTCACCCATGCCTTCTAATAGGCCAACAGAGCTCGCCCTCAGCATCTGCTGGATCTAAATTGTAAAACTGTGGAATCCTTCAGGGTCCAAAAAATGTTATGAGATGAGGAATGAAAGACATTCCGAAAAGTCACTGTGACCAAACCATCCTAAGGAAGAAAGAGATGGTGCCCCAGAAGAAAGAAAGAACTACTTGACAGATTGAGGGCAAAGCTTCGCCTCTGTGGAGGATTCTAAATATGAATCTGTGGGTCTTTGTCAATGTGCTGAAGAGAGGAACCTGGCAGGGTAGACAGAGGGGACTTTGTCAATAGTCTTGGCTCCCACACAGCTCAGCCTGTTCACTCACTCTCTGCTTTTCACTTCTGCCATCCCAAGAAAATGCAGTGGGTCCTCATCTCCACCCTTCTTACAATCCCTTATACTCAGCAGGTAAGTAAGCTCTTTAGAAAGATGATCTCGTTATATCAAAGGCTAATCTATTATTCGAACAAGCCAATTTTACTTTGAGAAAAGGATAGGGCATAATAATCATATTGCTCCTACTTGTTTGCATTAGTTGCCTGTGTAAAGTCACATTTTTGAGACTTCCTGATCAAAATCCTTTTCTTTGAAAGCTTTCAATAAGTTGATAAAAGTACAGCATATGCCTTTATGAGTATAAATAACCACACAATATAAGCTGTAGGTCCTTTGTTTAGGATCGTCTGGCAGTTTCATAGCATGGATTAGTCATGTTCTAAACTTTATCTAAAAGTACAGAATGTTATCAAGCTGCTGTCACTTGAACTATATTTATCTGTCTTTCCACTAACCCTAAGAATTATCCAAATTTATCAGAAATAAGCTTTATGAGTTAATTCTATCACTTTTTACTATGGATTTACAGAAGGGTTTTGCTTAATAACATCTTTCCCTCATGAGATTTCGACAAAGTGTTTCTATTTTAATTTTTTCCCTATGAAGTTAATTGAGAAAGCTTAAGTGTTAATTCTGTACAGTGTAAACACAAGAAGACCAAACTAGGAATATATTGTAGAACATTCAAATTATAAAAAGACAGATTACTATTGTAAGGCATATAATGGGGACATCTAAAAATGTTAAGGTGATCTGATCTGTTGATCTATTAAACATATGGATTATTAAGAGATAATTTTTATATATTCTTCAAAATTCAAGTTATCTGTTTTACGGTGAATAAGTGCTTCCTAAATCATGCTATAATTTAAATAACATAAATTAAGCTATTCTTTTACATGGATACAGTGCAATTGGGTTATATCATATGATATTAATTTCCAATTGGCTCTTTGTTATCTTAATAAAATTAAAGTCTTACTTAAATTGGTGTGAATATTTCATAATGACTCAAGTTCCTTTCATTTCAAAGTGTAGGACATAAATAATCCGGATCCACACTACAGATTACAGCAGGAGGGATTAAAGGTTTACCTGAATTTATTGATTGCATATTCAGCAGATACCAGATCCGGGCTACAAAAATCTGGATAAGGTCATATTTTGTGTTGCTTTTCTGCCATCTGGTGATTCTCTGGATTTTTGCAGCTCAGATCTGCTAGCCTATTTTATTTTATATTATTGCTTTTAAATTTTATTTATAATTGATTGCTCAACTCCTGTTAGTTTTTTTAAATTTTGGAAAGGAGTTTTGAATTAGAGGGACTTCTTGTTGATTAATTAAACCAGAATTAGAGCTGAAGGAAGAGTTGTTATGGTGCATGGGATTAAATACAAACGAAGAAATAAAAAGGAAACAATTTTAGATGTGCCTGGTTCTCAAAAAATTGGCTGAAGTAAGATCTTTAGCTTCCCCAGTGATGCCAAATTGCATTAACTAATCTTCCAAGTGCTATATGCTTTCTGATCTCAGGACTGGAGACCTCATTATGGACCATTTTAGAGGCCAGGAAGATGAATTCCTTTACTGTTTTGATGGTGTCATTGTCGATCTGCACTCTGACTTGGGTGTTCTCTGCAGTTGTCATTATTTTTGTTTTCTTGACGTTAAGGTGCAATCCAAATTTTGGGGTGATAGGAACCATAGTTAGATCCATCTGTAATGTACTGAATTAGATAAATACAAATGTATCTGTCTGAAAGAAGGACACATTTTCTGGTTTGCATTTTCCATGTAGACTGATAGTAAAAGTGGATGAAAACCTTTTGTGGCATCAACATTCTCCTCCGTGAACTGCCCTGGTCCACATACAGGTGAAACTTGAAAAATTAGAATATTGTGTAAAAGTTCATTTTTTTCAGTAATGCAACTTAAAAGGTGAACCTAATATGAGATAGACTCATTACATGCAAAGCAAGATAGTTCAAGCCGTGATGTGTCATAATTGAGATGATTATGGCTTACAGCTCATGAAAACCCCAAATCCACAATCTCAGAAAATTAGAATATTGTGAAAAGGTTCAATATTCTAGGCTCAAAGTGTCCCACTCTAATCAGCTAATTGAGCCATAACTCCTGCAAAGGGTTCCTGAGCCTTTAAATGATCTCTCAGTCTGGTTCAGTAGGAATCACAATCATGGGAAAGACTGCTGACCTGACAGTTGTGCAGAAAACCATCACTGACACCCCTCCATAAGGAGGGAAAGCCTCAAAAGGTAATTGCAAAAGAAGTTGGATGTTCCCAAAGTGCACATTAATAGAAAGTTATGTAGAAGGGAAAAGTGTGGAAGAAAAAGGTGCTCAAGCGGCAGGGATGACCACAGCCTGGAGAGGATTGTCAGGAAAAGGCCATTCAAAAGTGTAGGGGACTTTCACAAGGAGTGGACTGAGGCTGGAGTCAGTGCATCAAGAGCCACCACACACAGACGGATCCTGGACATGGGCTTCAAATGTCGTATTCCTCTTGTCAAGCTGCTCCTGAACAACAAACGTCAGAAGCGTCTTACCTGGGCTAAAGAAAAACAGAACTGGTCTGTTGCTCAGTGGTCCAAAGTCCTCTTTTCTGATGGGAGCAACTTTTGCATCTTTTTTGGAAACCAAGGACCCAGAGTCTGGACGAAGAATGGAGAGGCACACACTGCAAGATGCCTGAAGTCCAGTGTGAAATTTCCAGTCTGTGTTGATTTGGGGAGCCATGTCATCTGCTGGTATTGGTCCACTGTGCTTCATTAAGTCCAGGGTCAACACAGCCGTCTACCAGATTTTGGAGCACTTCATGCTTCCTTCCGCAGATGGGGATGCTGACTTCATTTTCCAGCAGGACTTGGCACTTGCTCACACTGCCAAAAGCACTAAAACCTGGTTCAATGACCGTGGGATTACTGTGTTTGATTGGCTAGCAAACTCTCCTGACCTGAACCCCATAGAGAATCTATGGGGCATTGCCAAGAGAAAAATGAGACATGAGACCGAACAATGCAGAAGAGCTGAAGGCCGCTATTGAAGCATCCTGATCTTCCATAACACCTCAGCAGTGCCACAGGCTGATAGCTTCCATGCCACGCCGCAGAGGCAGTAATTGCTGCAAATGGGGCCCAAACCAAGTACTGAGTACATATGCATGCTTATACTTTTCAGAGGTCCAATATTGTTCTATGTACAATCCTTGTTTTATTGATTGCATGTAATATTCTAATTTTCTGAGATGGTGGATTTGGGATTTTCATGAGCTGTAAGCCATAATCATCTCAATTATGACAAATCATGGCTTGAACTATCTTGCTTTGCATGTAATGAATCTATCTCATATATTAGTTTCACCTTTTAAGTTGCATTACTGAAATAAATGAACTTTTGCACGAGATTCTAATTTTTCGAGTTTCACCTGTATATATTCTCTCAAGGCCAGTCAAGTTATTTTGACCATTTACCCTGATTAGTAGAAAAATATAGTCATGAATCTATTTCCTGAGGCAATTGTCTTGACCTGTCTTATGGTAACATGTGCCCTGAATGATATGGAGTGTTTGCTTGTTTGGAACACATTCACAGCCAGTGTAATGCAAGACAGTCTCCTTCCATCTGGATTCTTAATTTATGTATTGATGAACCAAGCACACTTGACTTGGCTCTTTGAATCTTAACCAGAGCTGGAGAGCACAGTGATACGCAAGTCAATTGCAGTCTAGTTAAACCCGTTTTCACTATGCCTGCATGCGAACAAAAGTCATGCTTAGACCACAATGTGGCACAGACATCTGATTTGGCCCAATTTGCCTTGACATCACTGGTAAGGGATAGTTGTCATTTGGTTAGTAGTCTTGTGCCTCAGAAATATAAGAGGAAATGTCTTTTTCTGTGGCAAGGCTAACGATTGCCCTTGCCTGGCCAGGGAAGATTGATAGACCTATTGTCCTCTTGCCTTGGTCCTGATGCTTCAATGGCTCATGAAATCAGGCTGTAGGGAAACACATTAGGCATTATTATTAGGACTCGTAAGTAGACTTGTATGTGTTATGCTATTTTGTGTTTTAGGAATCACTGCGGTGAAAAAATAATTGTACAGGTCGCAGAGTGTCTCACCCTCTTGTAATAAAGGGGTATTAATATTCAGGATTTTTGTGGCGCTTGGAAGAAAGTTGTAATATTTCATTGCATGCTTTCCAGCTCTCAGATGAGTCCACCTGTATGAAAGCTTTCTTTCAGGGCATCAGGCCAGAGGCACCAGCAAGGAAACAGTGGAGAAAGTGCAGCAAACAGTGAACTGCATCAGCGCCAAGAGTTATGTCACTGGCCCTGCAGATGCCCACCTGTGCCAAGCTGCAGTCCTGGGGTGAGCCTGGTGAGAGATGGCTGTGGATGTTGCTGGATGTGTGCCAAACAAGCAAACACCACCTGTAATGAAGCAGAGGTCTGTGACCAGCACAAGGGACTCTACTGTGATTATTCTGCAGATAAGCCTAGGTATGAAAGAGGAATATGTGCATGTAAGTCTTCACTGTTTTCTTTTCTATTTTGTATAGAAGGGCAGCAGGGCTGCAAAGAAAGGGCACTCCTAACTGACCCACATTCTGTACCCTGCAATTTTTCTTCCAAAACAGAGACAAGCAAGCATACTCTGAAAGGCTGGCTTGTATCACTCTCTGAAATCACAGAGCAATGTTATCTTTAGCTATCAATTAGACTGAGAATTAATTGAACAAGTTAATTTCTGAACCGGAACTTCCTAAATTGTTAGAAATCTAATACCACCAAAGAGCTTTCCAAAGCCAACTAAACAGACCTCCCCTTTAAAAAGGATTTTTTAGGATTAGAAAGCTGAGATGATAGAGATATTACCATTAGATCCTCTTTTCTTACCTACGGAAAATACTGAAGAACCACCGAAAATATGAAATATCCAGCAAGGCGGCTTCAAATCTTAACAAACCCGCATATGTGTTTTATGAGCATGCAAAGTGTTTTGCATAATGTGAAACTCTCTTTATACTAATTACTGCTTCATTATTTATTTATTAAATTTATATGCCATCTACCTCCTTGATAGGTGACTTCATACATGTCACCTGCAACATTTATATTTAACTGATTTTCCTGACGTTTATTCATTCTGTTTTGCTATTTCAAGATATCATAGGTGTTGGCTGTGAGCTGAGTGGGGTGTACTATACCAATGGTCAATCTTTCCAGCCTTGTCCTCTCTTTTCGTGCCTGTGTGTGAATGGTGCAATTGGATGCACACCGGTATTCATCCCAAAGTCAGCATCAAATGACTGCGCATTGCTGAAAGACAAAAAGAAAGCTGGACGTTCCAAATGTGCTTCAGGGCATTTGGAAGCGTGGCGGTCAAGACATCATCGAATAATGTCAGGTATACAAGATTGGACCAATGAAATATTATTGGCACTAAAAAATAAAAAACCAGAAGACATGTCAGCTTATTAATTAAGGAAAAGCTAATAAGTATTATTTATTTATTTATTAAATTTAGTTGCCACCTGTCGCGCCATAGGGCTGCTCTTTTTTTAAAAAAAACAAAACCAAAAAGCAACTAGTTTTGAGGACAGGGCTGGCCACTCCACAATTGCCAGATATCCAAGATTATTCTACTTCCCTGGCAAATTAAAATTCATTCCAAATCACGCACATGGCTGCTAAAGTTTCAGGATATTCTGGCATTATCATGAGATCTTGTGTGATTTCTGCGATCTCATGTGAAATGGCTACCTTGAGAGATTGGCTTTCTTTGGGAGGGCAGGGGAGGAAGGAGTGCCTGGCCCACTGCATGGTGTTTAGTTTACTTTATTGTCATTGCACCTCATACAATGAAATCGAACACCATCTTCAGTGCACATCATGACCATGACCATGAAAATAACACAAACACACATCCTTCACCCTCTACACATTGAACCGGAAACCCCCGACACCATATCAACACTGAACTATACAGCAGAATTCAAAAGAGCTACTGCCCTGGGATAGAAGCTGTTTTTCAGCCTATTTGTCCTTGTTTTTATTATTCTGTACCGTCTACCAGATGGTAATAGTTAAAAAAAAAGGTTCCCAGGATGAGATGGATCTTTGAGAATGTTTTGAACTTTCCTAAGGCAGCGGGAGCTATAAAGCTCTTCCAAAGAGGGGAGAGGGCAACCAATGATCTTCTGGGCCTCTGGAGTGCTTTCCTATCTGCTACTGTGCAATTGGCAAACCATACAGAGGCGCAGTATGTTAAAATGCTCTCTATGGTGCAGCGGTAGAAGGTCACCAGCAGTTTTTCATTCAGTTGTTGTTTTCTGAGAAGTCTCAGGTAGTATAAACTCTGCTGGGTCCTTTTGACCAGGGCTGCAAAGTGGGCACCCCAGGTCAGGTCCTCTTTTAGGGTAATACCCAGAAACTTAAAACTGGCCACTTGCTCCACTTAGTCTCCATTGATAAGCAAGGGCTGGATGTCTGATCTGTTCCTCTATTGTCCACTATAAGCTCCTAGGTCTTATTGGTGTTGAGGACGAAGTTATTGTCTCCACACCATGAAAGCAGCTGGTCCACCTCATCTCAGTAGGCAGGCTCATCCCCCCGGAGATAGGTCCCACCACTGTTGTATCATCTGCTAATTTAGCAATAGTATTACTTGTGTGAGTGGGAATGCAGTCATGCACATGAAGTAAGGGACTCGACACGCAACTCTGTGGTGTACCAGTGTTAGGAGTAAGGGCTGAAGAGGTATGATTACCTAATCTGACCCTCTGTGAGCGGCCAAACAGGAAATCCATAATCCAAAGGCAGATTGAATTAGAAAGCCCAAGGTCCAGAAGTTTAGACACTAGTCTATGTGGAAGAATTGTGTTAAACGCAGAACTAAAATCCACAAAAAGTATCCTCACATACCCACCCCCCCGCTGTTCTAGATGAGTCAGAGCAGTGTGAAGAGGGTCAAACGCAGGGCCAGAAAAGCTGATGTCCACTTTGAGCTTGGTGGGAAACTCCATTTTTTAATTTGGGGGTTCAAGGATTACCAATCCTTTTCTCACACCTGACAGATTAGGATAAATAAGCAATTATGGAAATGCTGCCTCAAATTCTAAAAAAAAAAAATCATTATAGTTCAAGCAGCACCACTTTTATGCTATAAATGCATGGTTTGCACGCGATATTATAAATAATTATTTTCAGAGTTGTTTATTTTGCCAGATGCAAAGCTTTATTGGAATGTCCGCTATCTTTCTTGCTTTCCTCATTTACTGTCCTAGTTAACAAGTCCCCTTAGTAAAGGCAATGCAATTATTTTACATACAATAAATCTAAATATACTATCTGTTAAAAAAAAAAATACAGCTTTGTAACCTTGCTTTATTTATTTCAGATCTGTGCCAGGTTTTTACTTTGCTTCCTGCACTGAGATTTTAAGCTGCTGTTTACTTCCCAGGTATCCTGGCTCTTCTGCTTTGTCTCTTGAGCTATGCATTTTATATGTGGTCAGTCATCCTCTGAAACTCCATCAGGATTTGCTAATGGAGACTTTAAAAACAGTTTAACCCAGAACTGTTAGTGCTGCAAATTTTTAAGGCCCCTCATCTCAAAGAAAATACAATTCTTATAGAATTAAGTTCAAGAATAAGACAGAAACATAACATGTTCCAAGTTTCAGGGGATTGAGGTATCAGTCTCGAAAAAAAATCATAAAATTTGAAGAGGCACACATCCATTGGCCAATTCTGCAAAAACCTGAACCTCATAAACTTAAATACAGTGGATTTTTAAAATCATTTTAATCATATTTTATCTTATATTATGGTTTGTTCACTGAGCCCTGATTAGAGGTTATCATTCAATATTTTTAGCCTTTAGATTAAAATGTAAAAAAATTTAATATATTTCTACCTTTTAGCTTTCAGAAATGTTCCTCTTGTTTTGAAAAAGAAATGCCTGATACAAACAACTCCATGGACACCTTGCTCTCGAACTTGTGGTATTGGCATCTCTGACAGGGTGACCAATGGAAACAGTAAATGTGAAATGAGGAAGGAGAAGAGACTGTGTTATATCCAGCCCTGCCAAGCAAATTTTACGAAGATTCTGAAGGTAAATTGTGATGCCCAAACTGCCTCCTTACTGAGAGAGCAAATGCTTAAAGGAATGCAGATTTAAAAAGAAATACAGTGCATGGATGATTGTGCAAAGCTATCATTTTGAGTTATGGGGCTAGGAAATAGTAGGGCTGAGGAACAGGAGTCAGGATTAATAGCTCATTTTTTATAATTCTGTGGGCTTTTCCTACATTGCTTTTTTATCTATCAATTACTTCTATTTAGGGATTTGTTGCCTTCTCTGTTTTAGTGATTCTGATAGAGGGAGTAGACATTTTATATCAGTTGCATGAGTTCTTGTGCTGGCAGCTCATCCTGTTCAAACAAAGCTGGGAGGAACTTTAGCCATCATTAATTTCTAACTCAGATTATCTTGAAATATATAGCCCTCCTCCAAACACACACATTATAAATTTCCTTGACACCAAATTATGTAAGGGCATTTAAAAAGCTGCCTTAAATTCTACAATGTATGTAATATGCATTTTGACCATAATTTCCACTGTATTCTGTGTTTGTTTTTGAGATTCCAAAAGGAAAAACATGTCGGCCCACATTTCAGCTTGCTGAAGCTGAGAAGCTAGTCTTCTCTGGTTGCACAAGTAGACAAATATACAAACCGATGTTTTGTGGAATCTGCCTGGATAAGAGATGCTGCATACCCAATAAGTCTGTAATGATTACAGTACAGTTTGATTGCCCTGAAGAAGCACCCATCAAGTGGAAGATGATGTGGATTACATCTTGTGTTTGTCAGAAGATATGCAATGAACCAAGAGACTTGTTTTCTGAACTCAGGCTTTTATAAGAAATGTGTGGGAAGTAAATACCTCCTCCTTCTTTTTTTACCATGAAAAAGGTGGACACGTCCATACTGGATGCCATTCACTACCCAGTATATAAAATAATAACCAGGAAGATTATTTTAAAATAGTTTTGAATGCCTTGAAACTGTAGGAATAAAAAAAGAAGTGTATGGAATAAAAACTTATTAGCAGTATTACAGAAGCAAACAACTAGTGGACTGATGTGCTGATTTCAACTAGTAGGTTGATTTCAACACAACTCCTGAACATAATAAAACAGATTTACTTCAACGTGGTTATTGTACTTGAGAAAAATGTCTTCATGAATAAGGATGGACCCATTTTATGTTATAGATTTGGCTTGCTTGTTACAACTTTAAAAAATGCATGTTTCTGGAGTAGGTAGGTATCTTTTTCAAAATATCTCTGCACCATAACATGATCTAAAATGCCCACCTTTCATAACTCAACATGGCTATATAATTTAGTTTGCATTTAGCAGTAACTCCCCAAATTTCAGTCAACAGCATAGCAAAACTAGCAATACTGTACATATACTTTTGTAGAAATAGAGACTGTAGAATTTCATTTTTCTCTCAACCTCAAGATATGGTCTATAATTGTCATTTTTGTTATACTTTCTACCCGACCATCAATAGAAACAGGAAGGATCCTGGTCTGCATGACAGTGTTATGACAGTGTTTCACCCTGAACACATTGAAAAATGCATCTTATTCAAAGCCACAGACTTCTGAAAGACTGAATTACATTTGGCTCTGAATCAGAGTAACAGGCAGTGAAACTAGCAGTATGCGTGCCTAAACCTCAGTTAAACTGGAGTAGCTGATAGAATCTGAAACAAGGAACTGGGTTTTAGACTAGTCAGTTTTCATTTCATATTGGGATTTCTGTCTGCAATGAACCACATAGGTCAATAGGACATGGTCATCAACTATTGCACAGGTAATAATTCCAAGTTCAACACAAGGGATTTTTTTACATTTATTAAACTATTAATAAAAATATCATGAGAAATATTTATATTCAAAATGTGCTCATTTCAAAAATACATATAAATACATATAAAAATAAAACAGTGCTTAAGATAAAAGTGCATTTCACAATATGTAAGTTGAGATTTGCATTATCCAATCTCCATACAGCCTCTGTGCAAGATAAAAAAATATTTTATGAAACTGTTGGGCAGCCCGAATGTTTCCACTGATTTTCAAGAGTAACAGTACTTCTGATTGTCACAAAAGATCACTTGTTAAGAATTTGATCAGCCAGAACTGAATTTTTCCAACTGAATTCAGTACTCACCATGGGTTAGACTGCATGTGCATTTTTTGCAAATATTGAATTTCTTCCTGCTATGTCCCCACATTGCTACATCACTATCTTCAGTCTTGGTGGATCTACTGCAGGCCCACTGTTAGCAGCTTCAAGCTGATTATAGTCCTCTATTAAATTTGACAGTGATGAAAGTGCTTCAGAGAAACAGTTTTGATCCATCCCATCAACATGTAGGTAATGATGAAGGTGAGCCTGCAGAAACAAGTATTAACTTCAGTCATGCAGTATATACTTTACTGGAATAAATATTCCACGTAAATGAAATTATTCTCCCAAAATTGGAAAGTAAATAAATGACTATTTATGGTGGAAAATCAATGGACTGTAGTTTTTTTACACTCTTAGGACAGGGGTCTTCAAACTTGACAGCTTTAAGAGATGTGGACTTCAACTCCCCGAATTCCTCCTCCTGTCATGTTAACTCATGAATTCTGGGAGTAGAAGTCCACAAGTCTTAAAGCTGCCAAGTTTGAAGACCCTTGCTCTAGGACACCACTTGCACGCACGCACGCACACATACACACACACACCGCCAGACACAGTCTTTTTCTTGTTCTCTTTCTCTCCCATTCTCATTTTATAACTTTTCACAGCAGTCAACTGGCCATTTATATATCTTCAAATATATTATAACTTTATTACAGTCTATAAACAGGAAAGCTAACTGGTATGAGTAGGTTTTTTTTTGATACAGAGCATTTTCTAATATGGACTATAACACAAGTGCAAATAAAGACATTAAAATAGTTGTATGACTTCTCATTTTAGGGCATACCTTTTTCTTGTACAACTTCATGAATCTTTCTTTTAGTTCAATGAAAGTTGGTTTAATGCAGGTGTTATTTGCCAGTGCCAACAAAGAATGAGAATGGCCAACTGGAGGGACTGAACATAAACCAGTTTTCCATCCTTCTTGATTCCAGGATACAAACTGAAGTGAAGGCTTCAACCTGCAACCAGAAAATAAGGGCTTGAAATAATAGGAAGCAGTAGTGTTATATTATGCCTCATAAATGAACTATAATTCTAGGCAATAAAGTCAGATTGTGACTGACATTAGACTAGCATATCTCAAGGCAGCCTAGTTGGAGAAGATACTATTACATAAAGCAAAAGTTAGTGGCAGATTCAACTATTTCCAATGATATTTAAACTGATGTCCACAGCACCAGTATGCAATAAAGACATTCTAACTATCCTTTTAATGGAAGTGCATGTCAAAAATTGATGCTAAATCTGAATTTTACATTCTGTATGCTAGTTTCTAAACCACAGTGAATTGTGATGGAATACCTAAAAGATCTGGGGAACACAGGCAGTAAGACTCTTAAGGGAGAAAACAGCTTTGTTACAAGAGATTTTTGAATCCAGGGAGATGGTGGTGGTGGAAACACAAGAAAAAGAATAGGCCTGCCTTAATACAGCAGATGTAAATTCTACAGCATAATGATTTTGTAGACTTTATGATTCTTACATATTCCTAGCAATAAAGATATTTCTAGAAATCCAAGTGACTCTTGTTTTTTTGTACAGTCTCACAGGGCTTGATATATACATAAGGATATTAACATTACATTACATGTACATCAAATTCTATGTTAGAGAAAATGTAATATTAAATTACCAAATGTTTCTGTATTCTCAACAATATAATCAAACATAGGTGTAACTGGGCATTAAAAAGAGATAATTTCAAAAATGCTATATTTTGGCCTTTTGAAAAAGCAGTTAATAATTTTTGAGAACATAAGTTTTAGTACAAACCGTTCAATATTTCTACGAAGATCTGAAACTTGTACGTTTCCTCTGACTAAGAGGGCACAAGCAAGGTACAAATTATGTCTTGGATCAGCTCGTAACAGCTGGTGTTCTTTGCTAAAAGCATCAGAAAACATTTGATCCAACCTAAAAAACAGAGGAATTGTTTTAACAGTATTAAGAATATATGCCAAATAAGATAAATACGTATTTTGTATATATTCTGGTTGCAAGCTTTTAGAAACAATACTGTAGGTACGAATAGTAGGAACATATTTGTGAATTTTATTTCCTACAATTCCCCCATTCCCAAAAGGTCAGGTACAAATCCTATGGCATCTCAAAAAACAATATAATCCTCCTGAAAAGGAAAAGAAAATCAGATTTATTCGCAGTCAATACAGCAGTAAGGATTCTGGTCAAGTGAACAGAAAGCCTCATGTCTCCTGAAGAGATGTAATTAAACTAATACAATCCTTAGGTCAGAAAGGTCCTAGGTTTTAATTATACATTACCTGAAATAATGAAAATGAATTCTTCCATTTTTAGCATCCTTATTTACACACATCAATCAAACTGCTCACATCACAAAGGGTTGAGAACTAGCAGTAATAATATCAATACACAAAAAGGATAACACGAAAGATAAGCCAGTTGCTTATCTTCTCAGTGCAGTTAGCAAATAATATGCCAGAGGCTTAAAACTACAAAATGGATGGAAATGGAAAGCATAACTGAAGATGAGCAAGCACCTGACACAAGGCTAAGCACTATTTTTTCTTTTAATTATATTTTATATAGACTGCTGATCTTTGATGCAAAGAAGTTTCATTTTTTCCTATGCATGTTACAAAGCGGATTCATTTTCAACTTAGTATACAGTTGTCATTTACATGTAAAAATAAAGCAGCCAAGGGTTGGGAGTCTTCAAAGCACATTGCTATTTTTGACAAGTTACCTTTCTAGGAACAATACTCACCTTCGAGAAGGCACATTAACATCAGCCAGAGTATATAGAGGAGTCAAACTGGAAACTAGATAATGAAGTCGAGGAAAGGGAACCAAGTTCATGCTGATTTCATTAAGATCCATATTAAGAGATCCTTCAAATCTAGCAGAGCTGAAAATAACATATAAAACTTGTATAAAATCAAAAAGTTCTTTCCCTGCTTGAGAAGATTACAGATCTTCTCTGCCAAGTTATGTAGTGCTTTAATAACTCTGAGTTTAACAATAGATTAATCATAATACTTATTTCAGAAGGGTAGAAAAGGAAAATAAAAATCCTGTTACTTTGCCCGTACTACAAGAACCAGGCTGATAGAAATTCTACATAGGGATATGCTGATATTTTGCAAAGCTATACCTCTGTTTATCCATTATACAGAAATGCCGTAGAAACAAAGTTTTAAACATTCCACTCAAAGCCAAATAGAGCATCAACCAAAAGAATGCATTTTACCCTTTCAATTTAGCAAGTGTGCTGGTCGGGATCTTTACAACTATTTATTTTAATCTTCTGCCACTCCCAGCACCTGGCCTTTTAAACTTCCCCCAAAAAACAAAAACACCCATAATTTTTTAAGGAGGTGGCTACTTGCAAAGAAGCTAGTGACCATGTCCTGCAGGAAAATGCATAAGCTTTATTTCAACAAGATAATGTATTTTAGTATAAAGACAATTTATTTTTTATTAGAAAGCTTAAAAGTTCACCTGGTCAGGTTCAATAGTAAGTTAGCCACAATGTTGTTCATAGCATCAAAAGGTTTTTCTTGAAGATGTTTTATTCCACCTGCACTCGAAGTCACCAAGCTGCTTTGTTTTACAGTTGATCCTAGCTTTCCAGAGTTGGTCATCCGGTTAATTTTACTAACTATGTCAAATAAAGACTTTGGAAGAAAAAAAAACCCAGTGAAAAACATTTATATTATGCAAATTATTGTATAGTTCTAATTAAAACCATTGAGAAGGAAATTTT